ACTGAGTTTTAAGACTTGGACGCATCTATTAAACCGGCTCATTCAATTGATGTCTCACTAGACAATAAGACATCGACTCATCCAGTCCTTCCGAGCTCCGCTGATGTTGATTTTCCCATCAAAACCCGCGCAGGCGGGTTTTGATTTTACGATCAAAGCCCGCTCCACTAGGGCTTTGATTTACTGATCAAGCTCCATGTTTTTACACGATTCGGGCTAGAGAAGGTTGAGTCGTGCTTTCAAGCGCGATAGGAAGACCGAAGTGCGTGTTCATGTCAGAAAGCCAATCAAAACAGTCGTGTTCATGTTCTACCAGCCAATCACAGCCCTTAACGATGTATTTACAAGTTCAATTTGATTTTCAAGCGTTGGTGCATGGTTAGTAGTTTACCGTTCACGCTAAACTCAACGGTACTCGTACCCAACACCCAATATACTGTCGGTTGTTTCGACGATAGAAAGCTCTGTTCAGCGGAAGATCGGAACGGTACGATTCCGACTAGGGTTACATCACAAGTCGATCGTTGTGTCAAAAACCGAAATGCTAACCATGTCTTGAAAACACACCAAAAGCGGTACACGCCGCCGGTTGAAGTTACTTGTAGTGTGAACGGTATAATAAGCATGTCTATCGTAATCAAAACACTCGTACTCGTGTTCGATCAGCCTACATCATAGCCCTTCGCTCGGTGGGCTGTGATTAGGCGATCTCACGCTCGTACTCTTGCTTGATTCCATAATTCATGCGTCATATATGGACATACGCAGCTTGTTGTAATAATCTTAGCACATAGGCTGTGCGCCTAAACCTGCAATAGTGCTCAAATACCCGGAATGGGCAGAGCGTAGTACGCAAGAGGTACACAAAAGGAAGTAAATAGGGCTGCTTTTTGTTGTAAATCAGAGTTTCATGGCAAAAACCAATCATCAGACAATCATCTGATGATTGGTTTTTGTCATGAAACTCTGAGTTACAACAAAAAATAGCCCTATTTACTTCCTTTTGTGTACCTCTTGCGTAATGATCTTAGTACAGCGCCTCGCTGCCATGGCGACCACAATCTTCATCATTTGTTGGTACTAGTAGTCATTACAGGCCCTGGACATTCAGCCCAGCCCCAGGTACATGGAGCAACACCAGTCAATGTACTGTTGGTGGTACATGTCGTGACAACACAGACATGCCATGGTTTCATCGCCAACTCGACACTAGTACATTAATTTTGATCAAGTACAGATACGTATTTCTACAGATCAGGGCAATTCGGATGAAAATGTTGCCGTAGACGAAGCAGAGGTCTTTGTGAAATAAACAAATGTTCTTATCCTCCCCCCTAGCATTTCTATCAACGTACAGCATTCTATTTATGTGTCCATGCTCAGGTTTGCTTGTATTTTGTACATTCATTAAAAAGAGACTACGAAAATTCTCATTTTTGGGGAATGTTGTTGCCAAAAAAGGCAGGCCCAGTGGGTTGGTCTAAGACCATGATTGAGAACTTGGAAGCTGAAGGATTTTTTCCAACCGTCCTGCGACCCACAGTTAATTGGGAACTCGTGGCCTGGCATGAGTAAAACATGGATGTGGCAAATGGGATTTAGGCCTTTGGCCTCTGGTTGGTGGATCTGATCTATCCTCCCCCACCGTTTAGGAGCAGCATCTGACGCTTGATCACGGGGAGGTGGCGTCCCACGTAAGCGGAAAGGCGGTTCTTGACCAGGGAGTTGTACGACTCCTTGTTCTTGACCTGCCCGGTACGCGAACCCATCGACTTTTTTGTTTTGTTGGCAAAACAATTTGACACACTTAACATCTAAACTGTTTGAGCGCTAGGTCTACAGGTTTACTACATTCTATCTTCATCCCTTTCTCCAATTATCCTTCACACAATATTTCCTGAATGTCTAACAATTAGCCTTGCAAACAATTTATATTAGCATTCAGTCTATGTTCTTAGAATTGTCTTGGGTGCAATGAAACGACAATACCATTTATGGGCGCTTGCATTGCAAATTTATCTCAGCATTTTCTCACGCTTCCAGTCTATCCGTATGGCGCGCAGCGTCTTTGGTTGGTCAATCACCAGCCCCTCTCCCCCAACTACCTCTCACCTCCTTGAAATGTTGAAGGATGCGGCCGAAGGCGAAAGGCACAGTAGGTGACTTTTACACAAACGACACAAACTAGCAGGCAGGCACAGTGGGTTGGTCAAAGACCATGATTGAGATACGAGAGGTACCTGGTTCAAGTCCTGCCTGGGAGCGGTTTTTCCAGCCGTGCTGCTACCCACAGTCAACTGGGAACTTGTGGCCAGGCACAAGGGGTACATGGATGCAGCTAATGGGGTCGCTTTCGGCACTTGTGCCAGTGGTTGTGAGACTTACCCACTCACCCCCACCGTTAGGCGCTGCATCTGCCGCTAGGGTTTATCGGGTGTTAGCGGCCGTCGTGAGTTCCCTTCGGGAACGGATACGATAATTTACTTTTTTTTTTTTTTTACACAAACTAGCTTGTTTCCCTTTTCGCGGTTTTGCCAGGTCATAACTTTAGTTGTACTCACTCGATTTTAATAATCTTGGGCTCGTTGGAAAGCTCTGGACGAGACCAGCACGATGATACCACATTCTTTGCCTCAGCAGTCACACAACCAGCGCTGGAACGCAGCGACGTCGTCTCAACGCCGGGCATGCAAATGACAAATTCAAAACTCCGCCATGGCCGTCTCCTTCATCGTAGATTGTTCAATTTTTTTTTGAGAGATCGAGCATTTCGTGAGGAAGACGTTGGTTGCGAGCAACAGTCACAGAGCGCGTGATGAAACGGGGAAATCCCGTGACGACGTCAGCCGCGCGCCCAGCGCAGCGGAAGTGACAAGCGTGCAGTACTCAGCGCTTGATAACTCTGCTCCACTACATCGAAGCTCAACGCGGATTTCTGCAACAGAAAGCGTGGAAAAATCGCAACCGAATCGATAGTAAATTTTCTATCGTGGGTAAAAAATCATTCCAGTGCGAGTATTTCAAATGATGGGTCGAATTCGACCCACAAATGTATGGTCTGACGGTTAAAGGGTTAAAGTGCATGTATATTGCAATTTTGGTATATTTACAATTAATGGTGTGAGAGACCTTTCAGTCATACTTCAATTTACTGCATTCGAGTCCTGTTGGGGCCAGTCACCTTTTTTCTTTAGACTTTTCCTGTATGCAGATATCTTTCCTGTGAAACCAATGAGTAGTTCGTTGCTGTTATACACTCATTCTGTCCGTTCATTCACAGTTCCAAGACATTCTTCATTTGACAAGCAGAATGATCCCACACAAGGCATGTAGATACTAAGATCTACACAACATTACGTGCATTGTTCCTGCTGTTATCTGCAAGCATCGTGTGGTATCATATGGTCAACTCACGAACCTATCACTGCAGTCATCTGCTGCAAATACCAGTATTATTATTTAGAGCACTACAGAAAGCGTGTAATCCTCTGGTCCTGGGTGCCAGGCATTGGAGGAAGACTATAGCTGGAAAACAGAGGGTAACAGGTTCAAATCCTGCAAGTTGGTTTGTGGATTTGGCAAACTTACCATCAACGTGTACGTAACAGGGCAATGGGATCTACGGGTAACACAATATTTATTTTTCATCGGGCTCACGCCCCTACATGGCTACTTCTCCTTGTCTAACCCCCAAAACGAAAAAGAGTTATAGTAGCCGACTCGCCAAATTATAAATATTTAATGAAAAGATCTTTCTTTCATTGCTGGCTTGAAGCGCACGTCCCTAGTTCGAGTCCTGGACTCCTGGTGGTGAAAGACAATTGTTCCTTAAATTCCCTTGGTAGCTTTCCCTGCAACCAAAGAACAGTTTTTGTGCTTAAGAGTTGTTGTCTATTAGAGTCATTATCATCATTATCCACCTGCCCCCTGGTCTTCATTGCTTATGTTCACCACGGTACACGTACATGACATCGTGCATGATTGCTGTTGTGTAATCTATTTGGAGTAAATCTGCAGCGGATTGCTAGGGTACCTCTACAATTCTACATGACATTGTAACTCTGACGTGTTGATTGTTCCTTTCAGCGACTAGTACATCTAGGGGACTGGACTCACCACCTCGATCTCAGCACAAAGCACTAAATCTGCCACCTTGGGATGATCAGGCACTGTGGTAGCCTGGAAAACGCGAAACTTAATTATGTGAGCGAAAGGCTCAACATGTATGTGCTGTATATGAAGCAGTTGATGTCAGTACATGTCCATATGCTTGATTTGCGCTGGTCTCAGAGCTGCTCTCGCATCAGCACTACTGACTAACCGGCTCGTTACTGACTACTATTTCAACTCGTTTCCTCTGTTTGGCATGATACCACCGCTCCTGTTGATGTAGTCCTTCAACAGTATGGCATCGTGCACAGAGGTATTCAGCACGATTGTGAACGAGACTTCCTGAACCAAGCAAGACCTCCCGAGGTAAGTAATTAGTTCAGCTGGGTTGCTCCAACGCACGAGTTACTCAGGAACCGTACTATTATTACCGTTCTATTTTTGACCTTTTGGCAGCACTAGTTTTGAGCTGACACGTTTTCTCTTTGCTAGTACGAACATTTACTACATACTATGCAGAACAGAACAACAAGGACAATCAAGGCTTGCTTGCTGCAAAGTTTCATGCTCTCGCGATCATCAGGCAACATCTGCAAACAAGCCTTGATTGTCCTTGTTGTTCTGTTCTGTATTACGCTCTGCCTCCGCCATGGTGTTGAGCACTGTCAGCACACTGGGTACACCCTCCGGTGTATGTGTGCATTTATTTGGGTATTATCAGGTTACTGCAGTATAGATGTTCTTCTACACAACACTTAGTGCCAGCGTCTTGGGTGGTAATAGGGAACGGCTCCGCTAGTTGGGGCGTGCCAGCACATTCAAAAACAACGCGATGGTCATTATAAAGTTGTTCGTCTTTGCCACAAACCAAGTTAGTTGCTACTTACATGTTCAGAGTCGCATTGTCTGCCGCCAACTTCTTAAAAGGGTAAAGCATAGCTGTCCTTTATATCGGCTGCAAACAGTGGGTAGAATATGAGGCAAAGTGTTCAATGGATGATATTGGCAGTGGCCACAGTGGTGTCTACGGCAGTGGCGGTGGCTGGGAGCGGGGGACAGACTCCTGCCATGCCTGACCGGAATTCGAATCTTCCATCCGAGCTACCTATCAATAGTAAGTTTTACAGTTGAGTTCCTATCCTGAATGCTGTAAACGAGCAGGTGCAACATATGCAAATTCTCACTGATGACGGTGATGACGAGTCTGAAATTTGTAGTGCTTCCTCCGCACTTGAAGTAGTAGTTTGCGTGGTTTCAGAGCGTCTTATCGCACTAAGCGGTACGCAAGTTTTGTTCGTTAATGTCGTGTACTGTCGCGTGACTAGTTGTCCTGCTCAGTTTGCAGAAGATCTCCATTTTTTTGTTTTCTCTTGTAAAAGAACTACTTCACGAATACCCTCTTCGATGTAATCCTGGCTTCGAGTACTGTTGCTTGGAGATAAAATTGTGTCTTCTTGTTAATTCGCTGGATTTTTGATTATTGATTTGGAATTGCCTTCTCCATTGCTTTGCTTTGCATCCTCTCACGGTTTATCTTCGGGTTCTGTCAAATAAAGACTTTGAGTAGTTACTGAAGAAGAGGTTAGAGTAGTAACTGAAGAAGAGGTTAGAGTAGTAATTTCACGCTATAATTGTGACACTTTGGCTGCAACGCTTCAAATTTTCACTGCAGGTACATGTATGGGACAGTGGTTGCGTCATTCATTCCCCAGTGACTTCGATGACAAGCTGATGAATTACGAAAATTTGCTGCGAGCATTTGAAACGCCAGTTGATGAAGTATCTCTGCCAAAGACTAATCCACTATTGCTGTCTGCTATTCTTGATGGAAAAGAAAGGTCGGCCAGGTTTACGCAATGTGGAAGTAAGTTCAAGTTAAATTCTCCACTAGATCAATTGTTATTGTGATCCAGCTGTTCCAGACATACACCCAAACAGTGAGACATGTCTTGATTTGACTCTCTGTAGTGCACGAAGTCGTATAAGATTGCATGCTTCACACTCTCATGTAATATTTCTCTCCTTTCTTCGTCTTTTGTGAGAGCTCGGACAATCCACTTGTCCAGGCAAGAAGGCAACAATGCCTGTTCATTCTCTCTGGCGAAGCAATTGCGCTCTGAAGTTGCTTGCTCCTTTCACATCCACCCTTTCAAATTCAGGAAAACGTTTTGGAATTGGTTTTTATCTAGTTATGGTGTTTTAGTACTTGGACTGCTTACAGGGTATTCGACTGGTCGCGCAAGCGCATGGGAACACCGTCCGACTGTTTGCAGGATTTGGAATGGATTAAAGTCTCCCGATTGCCTCCAGTGATCGGATTTCCTGTTGAGTTCAACTTTATGTACATGTACCCGTACATGCTGTATGTGTCTAAACCTTCTGTATCCTGATCCAGAAGATCAGTGTGAACACCCGTCGCCATGCCAACACGGTGGTAAATGTTTGTACGCTAGTGTTGATGGTAACACTCCTCAGCTGAAGCAGTACAAGTGTCAATGTAAACCTGGATATGCCGGACGACAGTGTGAAAAGGGTAAGCCGTAACACAGGCATAATACAGGCATTCATTGTTTGGGAACCTGGCCTGCAATTGAACATTATTGACCTTTTAAGTATGTCTGTTTTTTTCTATCCAGCTGTGTCAGCTTGTATCACGCATCGTCCATGTCAAAATGGTGGACATTGTCGCAGTCGCGGCCCACATACCTACGAGTGCCAGTGTAAACCATTGTTTCATGGCAAGAACTGCGACATCAGTAAGTTGCGTCCGTCTTGCATTTAGGAATTTGATTTTGATTAAAGTCCCTCCAGTCGTTCAAGGGCAAGGTGCATCAGCACCTACGACAAAGCCGCTGGTATTGGGCTACAGACTCGCTGTAACACCCCATACACCCACAATCAACTCCCTCCCCCTCACTTATCTATTTACATGTGTTTCGTAATCCCGTCCATGGTGCGCTGGATAGCGCTAACGCCGAGACCCTAGGTCGGCGTTGCTAGTCCCGACTCACCGGCACAGGCTCCCTGAGAGCCCCTACTAGTACATTGTCTGTCTTTCTCCTTTGTTGTCTCGATCATTATTTTCTTTTGTCTTCTTCTTCTCCTCTCTTTGTTATGGTCTATCAGTAGGAGGTGCATTCTGTAAAAAATAAATAAATAAAAGCTTCCCTTCCCTAGATACCTGTATAAAAAAGAACAGAAACACTGTGTGATGACCAGCAGCCTGGGCATAATGGCGGTTATACTTTCGTTCACTAACAGTTAAGAGTAGAGCCCACACGCTCTCTTCCATAAACCTGCAATTGTCAAAACGTTGTAATATTGTGAAATGAGTTGAATTATTGCAGTGTTAATGGAAGAGAGCGTGTGGGCTCTGCTCTAAACTTTTTATGAAACTGCAGAAAGCCTCCCCGCGTTTACTTAAAATGCACTAAGGTAGCCTGGTGTAGGTAAACACGATCTCTCTCCTTGTCCCCATAGCACATAATTAAAGCCTGATGATCGTAGTAATAATGTGAAACTCAGAGTTGTGACAAAAGCTTCCAATCTCTCTTGGGTAGGCTGTTTGAAACACAAGTCTCTTTACGGGCAAAAAAGGTAGGCTTGTGTCTTGCTGAATGCAATGATGTCAATAACTACGCACGCCATGCCAACTACGTAACACCGTACAAGCACATGTTATTACGGCAAGGTATTCCGTGTGATTCGAAGTACTATGCCTAACGTCACCTGCAAACGGCACCAACAATCATGCCATTTTCCACCTTTGACGGGAATTTCTTGTGATCGCTTTGTTGGTGAACAACGTTAATTAATGCACTGTGCTGTATTTACAAGATTACGAACTAAGTTAGTTTATCGGGGGACGAGCAGAAAGAGTCAAACATCATGAATTGCCCGCCAAGCAATGCACCAGCCTACGTCGTTTCGACTAATACATGAAGAAACCTTGGAGTCATAATATTGCTGTTGGCTTTTTAAGCTTTGCACTGTAGCTGTTAGTACCCACAAGTTGGTTGCTCTCACTCTAATCGTTACAAGTAACTACTTTATTTATATTTTTTAGTGTGTTTTTCAGTGCTGTAATTGCGTGTTGTTTTCCTTACTTTTGTTCCTGTTCATTTGCATGTATGTTGGTTTGTCCATTAGCCGACGATTCCTGATGATAGTAACTATATAGTTATCCATTTTCATTCTTATACACGACTAGGCACCAACGGATTCTGCTCGAAAAGCAGTGAAACCGGCAGAACCATACAAACCTTATGGCGGGCAATTCCTCGAATTCTGCTCCATTTCTTTATCCACATACCAAACACACATGAAACGTACCAGAAAAAGTACCGAATTCTGCCAATTTTTCTGCCGGCATAATCCGCCGGTGCCTATACACACATGACTCCATACACACTCGAATGAATTCTTCCTTTTCTCCTAGGTGATTTGGCCAACATCACCTCATCGCTTGCTGACCTTGCTCTACGCATGGATTCAATAGAGACCAAATCTGCTCAGTCAGCTAGTAGAACGGCTGACACTGTGTCCCGTGTACTCAAGCAAATACAGCACACGTTGGATCGGCGACTCGATGACCAAGCATCAGTCTTACAAAGTGAGGTTCAAGATATCAGTGATGAGGTATGGACTATAATCCTTGGAAAAATCTAGTGTCGAGTAAAAAATGGCATCCAGATCTTCTTTCGACCTTCTGGTATTCCTCCTGGATCGTCTTCGTTTACTTCACGAATCTATTCGGTCTAAATGTGCATGCGTGTGGTGCCACCCCTCCCCCTCCCCCCCCCCCCCGCCCCTACCCCGCAGACACACGTCAATTCTTGGTCAGTTCTCCTGGCTTTCCTTATATCAAGGAGCTCAGAATACTTGCTCCACTGTGCTTACTATGGTACTTCAATGAATTCCCACCAGTAAGTGTCTAGTGGTAGGGGTGAGGGGTGAATGAAATCATCTGCCAAGTTTTATATTACTATGACTGTTCCATCATGATCGACATTTTATCACGAATTCTTAACATCAATCCGCATGGCTGAGACTTTCAGCTCGTACTTGTCTTGGTTGCACTCACCTTCTCCTCCTATGTTATCATAAATTACTATAACTTAGAACCTTCCAAGTTGGAATGCTGTTGGTGTGCGCATCCAAGATGTGCTAGAGCTGATAGCCAGTTAGTTGTAGAACGTCAATACTGTCGGTCAGTGTCGTGCAATGTTATCGCATGAGCTGATTGTTTAGTAACTGGTGGTGTTAGTGGCCAGTATAGCGTAACTTGTAGTTCCTTGGTCCTTTTTAATTTCTATAAATCAATCCGCATCATCCATAATTATTACGGCAAAATTTCATGCAAAGTTCTTTGTAATCTGGATGTATAAAAATAATTACAATAAATGAAACATGTACAATGTGTGACTGGGGCTCCAGAATAATCTACGATGTTTCTTTCTCACAGGTTATGAGGAATTCTCTGCAACACACTGGTTCCTGTAGAGAAGTCCAGCATCGATCCAATTACTCAGCACCTTCAGGTCAGCCACCTTGTCCGAAAGTCTCAAAACTTCTCTCGGGTTTAAAGTGAAACCCATCTTGGTGAGATGGTGTTCAGCCGGACAGGTTTTATGAGAATTATTCAATTTTGTTTCTAGTGTTATTCGTTCTCGGGGTGCATCAGTTGTGATCATATTAATTATTTTGTTGTTCAACGTGAAAATAGTCAGCATGGTATTGTTTCAATCCATTTACTAGGTGAAATGAAAATGAACAAATCTTTCTTTCATTGTTTGAATTGTGAGTACCTGGTACTATTCAAGCCAGTATCCTGAGAATTAAGTTCAGCAACTACAATGTATGCAAAAGAGAGAGACGAAGGAACTACAAGTTACGCTATACTGTCCACTAACACCACCAGTTACTAAACAATCAGCTGATGCGATAACATTGCACGACACTGACCGACGGTACTGACGTTCTACAAGTACAACTAACTGGCTAACAGCTCTAGCACATCTTGGATGCGCACTCCAAAAGCCTTCCAACTTGGAAGGGTCTAAGTTACAGAAATAACATAAGGAGGGGGGGGAAGTATAGCGTAACTTGTAGTTCCTTGGTCTCTCTCTTTTGTATAAATTATACCTTGGTTCTCCATCTGAGTCCATAACTACGATGTAGTTTACAATATGACCCCCCCCCCCCTCCCCTCTTTTGTATTCGCCTCAGGTAGAGTAAATGGTGACTTTGGCTGGCCCCTTTGAAGTTCCTGTTCAATTGCAAATCCATGTACAGGTCCCTGCGAATCCAGAATGAGACAGCATGTGAGTGTTTCCAGTAGTGAAGCGTAATGCTCATAACGGTAATACCTTGGTATCGTCTTGTAGATGACAGTTCTATTTTTCAACCAGACCTGGAATCGTACTCTACCATTATGTCTTTCCTGACTGTAACAGGTTTCTACCACATCATCTCTGGGCTGACGGGAGGAAGAAAACTCATCCAAGAGGTAACGTACTACGACAGCGAGTTATCTAAAGAGCGTAAAACGGTGTCCATGTACAACTCTGCAAATGCTGGAGGATGTTCAAGGGTTTCATGTTCAAGGATGTGTTGGCATGATTTTCAGTATACCCAACTCGCAACCCACAAACAGTCCTTGGCTACACCACGTACAGTTGAAATTGTCCACATTTTCACCCAGAAGGGCATCATCAGGGATTATAGGAGAAGAATGATACAAAGTTGGCTTATATAAGGCAGAACAGGAACAGTCACATAATTCACACTACTACATAATTATAACCTGAAACACGTTATAAGCTAGCACTAAGACATAACAATGTAAGTGAGCATTTCATCAAGTGCAAAGTGGGCGTGAGACAGCCATGGTTGAGTTGATGAGTGTGTGTGTGTGTGGGGGGGGGGGTATAATTATGTGTGTGTGTGTGTGTGTGTGTGTGTGTGTGTGTGTGTGTGTGTGTGTGTGTGCGTGTGTGTGTGTTTGTATGGTTAGAGGGGAGGGGGTTACCAGTCAAGTATGGAGTGTGTTAATCTTCTCAAGCTCTCAAGTCGGTGTGGCTATCCATTCGAGATGTCGAATCTGAGATCCCGCACTCGTTGTGATAACAACAAGGTGTGGGATGCCCAGTCGGTAGATCAGCCATGTGCTGGGAAGTTTGATTCATGCCAGTAGGCGCCAACCCTTGTCACTGTTCACCTTTGGTCGTCGATTTCTGATCTCTGTTGCCTCAAGGCACTTGCGTCATGGAAGAGAAGGCTCCCTGCCGAGAATCTTCGCCTGGTGGAAGGGCTGAAATTTTGAAGATGATCATATGTTAGATTCTCGGTGGTGGGTTTTGTGGTGGTTGCCCCAGGGAGCTTTCTCCGCCATCGTCCGCGCTTCCCGGTAGTGCTCCTGAAACCGCTCCCGCACTGGCCGCTCGGTTTCCCCGACGTACTGCTTTTGACAAAGCGTGCACATCATACTGCAGACAACATGCTTCACCACACATTCACGATCAGACATACCCGTATCCCATGCATCGATGCACCACGACCAAGCTTCACCTTTGCTCTCTGCCCCTCACGGGGACATACACGGGCAGACAATGATGACTGATCAAGTTTCCTCTTCAGTGATGGACCAGATGTGAACACAATTCGGACATCATTAGCCTAAGATTGTTTCAGCAATATAACCTCTACGGTGCTTAATGGAATTGCTTTTCTACTGGCGTTTTGTCCGCTCTCTAGGTCTACTGTGATATGGATCACTATGGTGGTGGTTGGACAAGAATTGCCTACATCAACCCCACACAGCAGGGTGGTTGTCCTGGTGACATGAGTGTTCAAAACCTTCAAGTCAAGCTGTGCAATAGACGACACAGCAAGAGGCCGAGGCATGGATGTGATGGTGCAACATTCCAGTCACCTATTGCCGAGTACAATGAAGTGATGGGATTTGTCACTGGGTACAGGGTGAGTGAAAGATAAAGTCAAGTTCTAGTACTTGTACACAATTTGGAAGTTACTTTATCTTGGTGATATCATCTGGCACGCCCTAAAGAAGAAACCCATAATGATAGGACAAAGAAGACTAGAATGAATAAGATGTTTTTGGAAAGATTGAATTGAAGACCTGACAGTACAATTCAGAATCGGCCTGGATGCTGCCTGCAATTTTATTCTTGATATATTATGTTCCTGAAGAGGGCCCAAGTCAAAAATGTTGACGATTAAACCTGTCTATCTTTATGCTTCGTTGCTCCGCTGAGAGCGAGTGGTTGTGACGAGTTGAGAATGCAGTAAAATATCTTAAAGTGAATTGAAATGACAAACGTTTCTAATTGTCCGCAAACTCCAACGCAGCCACTTACACACTTAAACTTCACTTCTCAACTCCAAAAACGGTCTCTTCACTGCGATTCAAACCAAAATTAAAATAAATATTACACAAAATTTTCGGACCTGGCCCATCATGAGGGTAATGAATGACAAACAAAATATCCATTGCATAGGTATTTATTGAACTACATGTATGAAGACAAAAACTATTGACACTGAGAAAGTTAACATGATATTGGTGTGAATATGTTAGTTGAAGAATAGGAAGTAAGTAAGTGTAGGTGGTGTATGTGTCAGCCGTAGGGTGTGTTTGTGTTGGGGGGGGGGCGGGCTTCAATAGAATCTCAGTGGACAGATGTGAAGACAGAGTGATACATTATCTACCTGGTACCTACCTACAGTGAGTCACAACAGGTCATGGCGACTGAGAATTACATGTACTGAAGTACATGTGTAGAATAACACCTACATGTACATCCAGCCTGCGCACCAAGCACTGACACAAACAGGCTTACATATGTAGGGGAGAACGCAACACATACACTACACTTCATATACTGTACAATCATACCAGTAACAGTTTCACACCTTGTCCAGAAGCCTCCAGCCATAATCCCTGTTCACAGACGGACACTATCACAAATAAACATAGCTTCACGAATACGACGATTGACAAGGGATGACTGCGTGGCGAGAATTGAAGCGTTGGTGATGGGTGCTGCAACGTCGGTGTGATGTTCGTGGTGATGTTCGTAATGCTATCCCCGTGGTGTCGCCATTGCCTGTGCGCTTGCCTCTCTACAGAGAGAGAAAGAGAGGGAGAGAGAGAGAAACATAGACAGAGAGAGAGAGAGAGAGAGAGAGAGAGAGAGAGAGAGAGAACGAGATAGAAAGAGATAGAAAGAGATAGAAAGCGATAGAGAGAGAGAGGAGAGAGAGAGGAGAGAGAGAGAGAGAGAGAGAGAGAGAGAGAGAGAGAGAGAGAGAGAGAGAGAGAGAGAGCGGGGAGGGTTGGGGAGCAAGAGAACTAAATAAGAGAACTAAATAAAGTATGGTTGATAAATATGGTGGTAAAGACACACCTGGCAATATGGCTGTAAACACACGCCTGCCCACACACGCTCTCTAGGCTGCAAAGTTCTGGCACAGAGCTCTCCTCACCACCACCACCACCACCATCAGTTCGCGCCTGGCACCTGGTCGATGCATGGCTGGCGGTATCCGGCATAGCAGGCTGGTACATCAAGTAGCGCATGGCACATAGATGATGACACAGCAACGACATAGCTCGATTGCGACGTACGTTTCGTCCCCGCTGGACTCATCAGGCAATCTTCTTCTTGGATGTCTTCATACGGAGCTTGACTCGGGAGAATGAAGTCGAAGACACCACTGCAGCTGTACTTATGGTTGATAAATATGGTGGTAAAGACACACCTGGCAATATGGCGGTAAACACACGCCTGCCCACACACGCTCTCTAGGCTGCAAAGTTCTGGCACAGAGCTCTCCTCCCCACCACCACCACCATCAGTTCGCGCCTGGCGCCTGGTCGATGCATGGCTGGCGGTATCCGGCATAGCAGGCTGGTACATCAAGTAGCGCATGGCACATAGATGATGACACAGCAACGACATAGCTCGATTGCGACGTACGTTTCGTCCCCGCTGGACTCATCAGGCAATCTTCTTCTTGGATGTCTTCATACGGAGCTTGACTCGGGAGAATGAAGTCGAAGACACCACTGCAGCTGTACTTATGGTTGATTATGGTGGTAAAGACACACCTGGCAATATCGCGGTAAACACACGCCTGCCCACACACGCTCTCTAGGCTGCAAAGTTCTGGTACAGAGCTCTCCTCACCACCACCACCACCATCAGTTCGCGCCTGGCGCCTGGTCGATGCATGGCTGGCGGTATCCGGCATAGCTTTGCAGCCTAGAGAGCGTGTGTGGGCAGGCGTGTGTTTACTGCCATATTGCCAGGTGTGTCTTTACCACCATATTTATCAACCATAAGTACAGCTGCAGTGGTGTCTTCGACTTCATTCTAAATAAAGTATAATAAAAAATGAGAGAGAGGGAGAGAGAGCGAGCGGGGAGGGTTGGGGGCAAGAGAGGGGGAGAGAACTAAATAAAGTATAATTATATAATGCGTAAGGGGTGCACATTCAGATCCAGAGAAAAGAGTAAGCAGGGCACGAGGCGTATGGCAATATGCAACAGTGTGTGAGCAGATGTGCATACATCTTACAAAGTGTCAGTGGCCCAGTGCCATTGCTTGGCACGGAGGTGCCGGAAGACAGACACTTTGAAACTTTGCAGCCGTTTCCGGTCAGGTGGCTGGCTGAGGACGGCGGGTGGCAGGGCATTTCATACAGGGACAGCACAGGCGGGGAAAGCTCTACGGCAACTTTCCCGGCTATTGACAGGTAGCCCTGTCTCAAGCTGGTAGTTATGCATGTCGAGACGGACGAGAGAGAGACGAGTGGGTCGAACATGGGCTGGTCGGGGGCTTGAGAGGGAGGCAAGAGCTGACGAAGTGGGCTGGTAGGATTGGAGCACAGTAGCTTGTAAATGTAGGTACATGCAGCTACCATGCGACGGATAGACAGGCTTTGCAGCATTGCGGCGGGGCCAATCAAGTGGAGGGCTGAGCGTTGCGTCTGGTCAAGTCGCTGCAAGTGACAATCTGCTGCGCCCATCCAGACCAATGGGCAGTACTCCATTACTGGGCGTACAAACCCACGGTACACTGTAGCTCGGCTGCGAGAATCCAGGAGAGGCGAGGCCTTCCGCAGGAGCCCGAGACGCTGGCGTGCTCTGATGGCGATGGTATGGAGGTGGTTGCGGTGGGAAAGTTGGCTGTCCAAGGTTACCCCAAGAAGCTTGAGGTTACTCTCTCCATTCAGGGGGACACCCGCAAACTGTACTGCTGGGAGGTCCAACGCTGATGGTCAATAGTCATGGCCTGGGACTTGGCTGGCTCGAACGCAATTCTCCAGCTGGTGCCCCAGTTCACAAGGGCATCGAGAGCATTTTGCAGGACTGTCGAGCTGTGGTCAATGGTATCCATGGTGGACATGCACTGAAACAGCGTTGTGTCGTCGGCATAAGCGGCCAGATCTACACCTGGTGGAAGGTGGTCATCGGCATCGTTCGTGTAGAGGAGGAACAGTGTCGATCCCAACAAGCTACCTTCCGGAACACCGGCTGTGATGCGGTGTGGGCTGGACGACTGCACCTGGGTGGGAGACTCGATCGAACGCTCCAGCAATATCCACAGTAACAACCCGCACAGCTCTGCCCCCTGCAGCCACGGTACTCCAACGATGGTGTAGTAGGGTAAGGAGGTCCTGCGTTCCCAGGCCGGAGCGGAAGCCGTACTGCTTAGCGGTGAGGATGTGCCGGCGTTCAAGGAATCCCATAAGGCTACGATTGATGATAGCTTCCATGATCTTTGACAGTAATGACAGCAGGGATATGGGTCGGTAGTTCTTTGTTGCGGACTTCGAACCCTTCTTGTGCACAGGTACAGGTAACGGCTGCATACATTACGGCCCTACGCCTAAGGACCGCAGTCACCGCACACCGAACAGTATCGGGCATGATCACGTCTTTTCTCCTGCCGACTGGATGCCTGTTCAGCGGTACTTTGCTGTCGATGCGTCTTTTCACGAAGTCGGCGAGTCTCCGAACGACGGGACATTTGCTCTGGTTTTTTCTTCTTGTTGTTGGCCTAGTCTTTCGCAAGCACGGCGACGCTCGAGGCGGCGGGACCTCTCTTCTTCCATCTTCGACTCTCTGTGAAGGCACTCCTGCCGACACCGTCTGCTCAGAGCTTCAACAGTGTTACCCCTGTCGTTTTTTCTCTTTCTCATAATCCTCTGAAATAGAGATTATTAGAATGATCTCAGCATTCTACTGTGCAACGACCACGCGCATTAAAGGGAAACTGAACGCCAAAAATAAGTATGGCTTTTCCGAAGGAGAATTGGGCACTGATTCCGATTAGCTATGTCTCGAGCCGATCAGAGAAGAGGAACCGTGTCAAATTTCAAAAATAACACCTTCCATATTGGGAAATTGGGCTTGATGACGTGCGTACTGCTTAGCTGTCACCAGGCTGTGCATGCTCAGCAGTGTAATTGAATGGAAGAAAACAATTACTTTGGTGTTTTGCAGCTCTATTCCGTTCCCTGAAGGTAACCAAATCTAGATGTAGGAATCTGTTGAGCAGGAGAGTGACACATGTCTTCCCGAAGGCTGTCCAGGCTGCAGTGGCGATGAAGAAGACACGATCATCACCCCGAGATCGATTGTAGCGAACTGGAAAACTCATGGTGAATTTGCTTCCACTCTAAGGCAATATCGAGGTATGAAGGGTGCTTGTACTGCCTTCCAAAGTGAAGAGGAGATGAACATGGCTTTGCATAGCTGTTTGTTCTATGCCAACCTACATACTTTAATCTGGTACCGTTGTGGTACAGGATATGTAAATTTCGTGGACGAACATCTCGAGTCACTAGTGACAAGTGAGCAACACTAACAGGTGAGATTTTCGATTTGAAAACATTGCTTTTGTTTGAGAACTGACAGTGGCAGTCATTAGACTCAGTAGGTGTCTCTCTGC